CTTTTCTCTCGGGTGCTTCGCCTCTCGCTCTTCTTAATTCTCCAGTCCATGCCCCGTAGCTCCTGGAGGCATTCTGGATTGCTGCTATGGGGAGGACGCTGGGTTTTCCCTGCGTATGGGTGTGGGGGCTCCTCCTTCTCCTCTGCCCTACTCTTCTCCTACATGTGCTGCTCTGCCTTCTTCCACTGGCGGTGCTCCCGGAATCATCTCGGCTACGTTGTGTCGTGCCACATTCATGCCTACATTCTGCAGGAGAGTTTATGCAGTCAGGCATCTCTTTCAGCCAGGTGCTGGTTCATGGTTTTGGGATACGTATATATGGACATAAACACAGGTGACTGCAGCAGGCCTATTGGGCAATACGAGGCAGCTCGTATTATACCCATCTAGTCCTACTCTTATGCATCTCCAGTCCATGCTTGAGTCCAGATAGGGGCCCTACCTCCACCAGGTTACAAGGTACAATGGTGAGGGAATATGTTATGGGGCAAGTGTTCCTATCTGGATGTTTTGAGATGACGTTTTGCTGCAGCTTTCATGCTGTGGGTGTGTGCTGGGGATTGGTTGTGGATTTTTGTTTGTCCTTTCCGTGCTTCCTGGGGCCTTACTTGTTCTTCTGGGTTAATGGTTGCAAGGGGGGTCATGGCCCTGTTTTTCTTAGTCTTCTCTGGATCACTCTTTCCTTGCACATTTTGCAGCGCCTGGCTTAGCCCTTCTATATACATTGGATTCTCTGTACGGTACTTGCCTAGTTGTCCTTACCTAGTTGTGTTTGCGGGAGTTGAGCTCTGACTTTTTGGTCCCGCTTCTCACCTATCATTCGCTCACGTGCAGGTTCCTGGGCCTGCTGGGCTCTATCATATCTGCACTTGAAGCTGTGTATGGTGTCATCCCCCACCACATTGCTTATTCATGTGTTTCGCTTGTCTACTACTCTGACACTGCAATACTTCTTTCCCATGTCTCTTCGGCTCATTTGGGCTCTCATTCCACCAGTGTCCCCTGGTGCATATGACCCTGGCATCCCGTAGTCGGTCTTTCTCTACCTTTTCCCTTCTTTTGGGAATCTTAAATGTGGTGATCATCTCCTCTTAGCTCGTACTTCTTGGTTCAGGTACTGGTCTAGTGGCATACCTTTGCACCTTTTTTCCTTTTCGTCTTGTGTTGGGATGTGTCACACAACTGTGTTGGCGTGGCTCAATGGGGCATGACCAGCGGCTCTGTGTGTTGTTGGTCATGTCCCTTTCATTCCCATTTTGCTACTTGCCTTTGTTCCTCGTCTTCCTTCTACGCTCGTCTCTGGTCGTTGGTGCTGGGGCTTTTCTTGTGTCTTTCCGTTTTTTCATTTTATCCTACACATGGTTGTGTGTTTTGTTTGTGTCTTTTGGCTCTCCTACTGCCAGGTTTGGGTTCCTATTTTCCTCGCTTAGCCGGCCTACTGGCATGTTCCCTTCCCTACGGTTTCCCCTAGAATTGCGTGTCAGGACTGTCGTCTCCGATCTCCTGGCGAGATCGCGGGCAGTGGGATGTTTTTCTGTACAGCGGACATTCTATCTCCTCCTTTGCCGGCTTGGGTTTCCAGCTCTGCTGGCTCCATGGTTGCACCAGAGATCTTCCCATGGCTTCGCCTCTTCTTAGGCTTGATTGGCACAGGGTGTGGAAGGTTCGGTTCTGCCTTGAGTTTTTCACCTTCTGTTGGAGGTTGGGTGTCTTTGTTGATGGTGTCCCACCTGCATGCTACTTCTTGGCGGAAGTGTGGGGTTTTTGGCCGTCCTCCCTTTTCCTTCTGTCCCTTCTTCGGTAGCTGTGTTTGCTGGCGTGGTCTTGTCCTCTTGTGGAGGTTTGGGCCCGTCATCTTGCCCCATACTGTCCCCTCGTATCGTGCGGTGCCGCTTCAGCTTGCTTTCAGTATTGATGTTACTTCTACCCCGTTTTGCAAGCTGTCTCGTGCGTTGTTTCACCTCCGGCCTGCTCGTGCGCCGCCTGAGTTGTCCTGGTCATGGGACAGAGTGCTATTTTCTTTCTTCTCCTTGGTTTGCTGTGGTCCCTTCAGTTCGGGATTGTTCTCCAAGGCTCCTTTTGTTGACATTGACCTCTGGGGGTCGGGTTGGGGAGCTTCATGCTCTTCTCCGGCGCAGGGGTTTTTCCTCTTTCGGTCTTCGTGTTGGCTTTGTTCGTCTGCAGCCATTTCCTTCTTTTCTGGCGAAGAATGAGACTTTTGCTCTCTGGAGGGGTCCCTGGGTTTTTGATGCTTGGTTAGTTGGGCCGGGGGTGCATCATGTTTTGTATCCGTTGGCGGCTCTTTGCTGTTTTTGCGCACCACGACTTCCGTGTTCGGGGACATGCATTGGGTTGATCTGGTTTCCCTGTTCGCAGGTGCGGGTCTCCCAGGTTGTCCGCAGAGTTCTTCAGGCTAGTCAACCAATGGTCTATCTATCCCCGTGCCCATGACGTTCGTAAGTTCACTGCTCTTGCTGTCGTCTTTGGCACCATGTCCTGG